CCCCAAAACCCCAAAACCCCAAAACCCCGATTTGATATCTGTCGGTTGAGAATAAGGTTTTCAGAAACCATGATTAGTTAAGAATTATGACATATCGCTTGTATCCTTGGAAATACCTGATTCGTTAATGGGATCTATTTTCTGAAGCAATGCATTTTGAGCTTCTTTAAGGTCTGATTTCTGCCTTGGTGGGAACAAAACAAGTCTCTCGATTTGTAAGATAGGAGACTCTATTACCAAAGATATTGGAACGCTAATCAGGATTGTAATGAAGAATGCTGTTAGAGAATAGAAGATCTGAGATGGGCCATCAAAATATAATGATGCTTTTGTTTGCATAAAGACGAATCCCAATACATTAAGATGTATTAAGTATGCCACAAATGTGACCTTCGCCCAAGGAGCCAATAGTTTACCTCCAAACACATCCTTAACCAAGGTGAGCCTTCCTACAAAGAGTGGGGCCAGGAAGATCCCAAGAAATGCCACGAAAGTTGGTCTATGGAATCCATTGTAAAAATCACTTGGGATTTGGCTGATGACCCTCTCATTAGGTTCTTGTAGCTCAACCCTTGGTAGCAGAATGAAGAAGAGCATGACTGCAGAGGAAAATACGAATGCGAAGATGCATAAAACGGTGCTCTTCTTGAACAAGTTATAAAATCTGGCACCAGCTGAATATCGATAACCAGGATCCGTTCTCGATCTGTTCCACTCAAAGTATAGGACTCCGAAAAGCACTCCAACAGTGTAAGCTCCGAATCTCGTATAAGGGTGCCCATATATTTCATCCTGGTATTTCTCTGCAGGATCCTTCAGGATTGAGATGCTGTGCCCTCTAATGTGAGAAAAGACGAAAGGGAGTATTATTCCTGCAATATTCAAAAATGTGATCAAACAATACCCAATGAGTTTGGAATTCAAGTAAGTCAGAACAATTAAAGGAACAAATAGGAAGTAAGTCATCTCATTTGAGAGATACCATAGTTGTCCAAATCAGTTTCCCTTGTTGTACCAAGAGGAAATAAATAATAGGGGCTGCCACCAACCATCGCGGCAATCAGAGATCAGATAATCAACATAAGGCTTCCAAAGAGGACCGGATCCTATGAACTGAAAGAACGTAAAGAAGATAGCATATACTAACAGCAGTGTTGGAAGTACTCTGATCAGTCTGTGCAGGTACAGCATTGGGATATTGAAGGATCTTTTACCGTAAAATTTAGTAACCATTAAGTATGTTGCCAAAAATGCAGAAATGAAGAAAAACACATCTACTGAATAATATCCAATGCCAATTAGAACAGCCCACCAAGTGTTTATGAATGATGGGACGCTTGTAAAGTTTATTACTCCTCCATGAACCATCAGTGAATTAGTGTGGCCTAAAACCACAAAGTAGAGACTGAGAAGTCTAAACCCATTCAATGCTGATAAGTAATCATCTTTTTTCTGTGGAGTGTAAAACATTTTCTTCAGATTTCTTGATGGAGAAAATGCAAGGAAAATTTTCCCAAGTAAAGATTTTGATTTAACAAGCAATTTGTCTTGTAAAGCATCAGAGAGAGGTTCATCGGCTGGGGGAATTTGACCCATAAACTCTGTATACTCAACTAATAATCCAAGAATTAAAAAGATTCCAATCAGTCCAAAGCCGATAAACCCAACAACATGCCATCCCGAAACAACAGGTGGATCTTTGCTTGGAATAAATACTCCACCTCTAGCATGTTCAAATAATTGTAGCTGTCTTGCAAGGACTGTGACTCCGTCTGCCAAAATCTGCAGGTCAGAGCTTCCTCATACATCTGGAACTCATACCCCCATATATATTGGTTTTCCCAAAATCATGAGAAAGGCATATTGAGTGCCTGGGTTAAGAGTGCAAGCATCAGGATCACCCATATCATTTACATTTTTCCCTGATGCCATGATCATAGTCAGCAAAGATTTTGGATCGCTCATAATCTTTGAGAGGCATTCAGTCTGCTCAACAGAAATGCCTCTTCCCTCTGGGGCTTTCCTAGGCTCTATCTCACCTCTGGTCATTATGAGGACCAGAATGAGTCAGATACAGCTTTTGACAAAAGTTATTTTCATTATTACTGCTATTTTATTTTCATTCTTTAAATGTTGCCTAGGGGTTTTGGGGTTTTGGGGTTTTGGGGTTTTGGGG